CTGTGAAAAAGAGATAATTTCCTGAAATCAGTGATGTTTTGTTATATTACTTATCTCATCACTCTTGTTCTTTTCCAAGAATAGGTATTAGACACCATCTGATAATGTGTTATGTTTGTAAGTCTGATATGAATCATCTTCAAGTAATGCTGTGGCACCAAATTGACTGCTCCCTTTACAGGATATGGCATATAAATTAGTCTACTGCCATAAATTTGAATTATGGCACAGGAAATACCAAAGTTACCCACTTACCAGCTAGTAAAACCAAAATACTTATCTGGATTGTTTGCCCTGAAGTGATTGATGCATGACAAGTTTTAATTACGTGTTTTATCCTGGACCTGCTCCACCAAGAAAAAATAGTAGGAAAAAAGGGCAGTTTTTGAGGAGCTACATTCTTAAGAAGCTTTAGCGTAAGCCAGTTAGAAAATGCTTTCTGTCTCATGTAGAATTTAAGCAATGCTTGCAGCTGTATGTGCATCAGGTCTCCCTTTCACTTATGGTCCTACTGACGGCTGATCAGCATCTCTTGCTAGCACCAAACAGGCTATGAAAAAGCTGGGAAGCCAGCTGAAACACTGAAATGGTGTGGACATGGGAATACATCTCAAAGGAAGGCTCCATGTTTTATCTGCTAACAGCAGGTGCGTGTAAAACAGGAAAGAGTCAGAAAGACTCAGAAAGCAGCTTTTCGATTACAGCTCTGTCTGGCAAACCAAGGTTTTGACAGATTTTGATTAACAAGAGAAGGTTAGTTATGAAATTATATTGCAGCAAGTTGAGTAATGTACTCCAAGTGAGAACCACTTTTAAAAGAAGCTGGAAAAGAAAGAGGCTGTTATGGAGCTGCTGAATCTGGCAGCCAAAGAAAGGCAAGGCTGCCCCTGGCACGTCCCCAGGTCCAGTGAGGCCAGTACGCACACAGACAAACAACACATCTACACATACACGCACAGACAGCCGCAGAGATCAACACCGACTGGCACACACTCCACACACGTGAGTGTAAACGGCAGCCCCATCCTGTTCGCCTCTCTGGACAACCAGGATGAAGGTCTGTTAATAGGAATATATCTGTGTGCATATGTACAAGATGGATCCCTGCAGCACCTCTCCAGCCCACACACTCGGTCTGCCCAGTAGCTGTCCGTGGGCCCCAGTCTCCCCACTTGCTGGCACAAGGGCATACAAGCCCCCAAGGCCACAGCTTCAGTGCCGAGCACACTTGTGTGCACCAACACACACCTCTCAGTCAGCCCCAGCCATTATTGGCGCTGGGTGCCATCCCTGACACCATCAGCACAGGGCTGATGGCACCGCTGGGACAGCCCTGGGAGGGACCATGTCCCTTTCCCTTACTGGGTTATGGGAATCTCCCACCCGCCAGCATGCCACTGAGCTCCTTCGTGTCTGTGGAGATCAGCATCTCATCACATAATCTAGCAAAGTATTTCTGTCAGACTTGGATCTGATCATTCAGTTTTATGGCTGAGACGTGAGTGGACCCTGTTAAGCATACCTAGAAACTGAGGACAAGCACTCGCCTAACAAGACTATGGCAAGACCCTGAAGTCACTCTTTAGAAAGCAACTGGAATATTAGAAGCAAAAAAAAAAGTCACTATTTCAGAATGAATCCTGAAAGGGGCTCTATCACTGTGAACACAATGAGGAATCAAAAGTACCACAAGAGATGTGAGACAAAAACCTCCAAGGCCATGTTCACAGCACAAGGAATCCCACAAATTAAAGCAAAAGCAGGCAGCAAGATGACATGTGATGTTTGGAAAAAATATTAGGGGCTCAGCGGTTTATATCTCTTTGCCTGAGTTTGAGTTACCATTCAAATGTGCAAAACCTGGGTAAATACAGAAGGCATCAGAATTGCAAGGTCAGGGCAATTACTCCTGTAATAAAGAGCAAAATTGCAGTAGGAGGTTATCAAACTACTCCTTTGCACTGAAAGCAGAAGGGACTGCTTTAGTTTTGATAGTGATCTGTAGGTCAATGTCGGAAAGACCTGCAAAACTGGATTAAAACTCTGGGCATCAACGAACCCTCACTACTCTAAATTCCAAATAGCTCAACCGCAGTAGCCATTGCAGCTGGTTCCTAGAATATCCCTCTGCTGCCCTAGGCCACTGGGACAGTAATAACTTGGATCCTCTGTGGCGAGCACTACATGCCTCAGATATTACGCTCCTCCAACCTCCCACTCCATTCTCTTAATGTGGAGGCAAAAGCAGCAAATATTTTTGGTTGCTTTGTCCCAGGCTATTTGCAAATGCAGAGGAAGGTACTGACTTTTGGTGCCCAACAGATCTTCCACATCTTCTTGCAATGGCACATATGGAGGTGTGCTCCTGGTCTGGTTAGTAGAGATCTTGTCAGTATTTTAAATTCCCTTGCCTGACAATGTCCACTGTTAGTTAATAATCCTTTCATATTTTTTGAGAGAAAAGAAGGTGGGGGGAGGAGTACCTTTAGGAGTCTCTGATACCAGTTGCTTGGAGCCACCTGTATGACACATCTCAGCCTTTGTTATACAGTAATGCTTAGGCTGTAGACAGTGTGAGGCTGTATCTAACTTGCATTCTGCAGTACCTCTCTTCTGGATATCTCCACCCTCCAACAGGCTCCCCGGTTGTCCAGATAGCATGTGACATGCCTTGGCACCCTCGCAGCCTCTGCCCCCATGGTTGCACCCCATGGAGAACCGGGCACAGCCTGCTGGGGCTGGTGCCTGCCCAGGTCTTGCTGCAGAGCTGGGAGACAGCCTAGGCACGTACCTGGGAGGAGCTGAGTCACAGAGTGAGAGACTCCTTGGCTCCAAGGCACTGCTGAACAACACATTAAATTTTGAGACCTTAGCCACCTTTCAAAATGGTCCTCAGCCCTTTTACACTGTAAAGGTAACACACTTCAACTGGTTTTGTCATCCATTCAACTACAAATCTGTCACAGTGAAAGCAATGGGGAAAAGTTCTCTGTTACTTTGGACAGTGATATATATTATAAGGAAAAATAATATGCCTTCTGTATCCTCTATTTATGAATAAATTTTACCATTTGTGTAAAACCTCTTAAAGAAGATGAGATTCCTCCAAATGAAAATGGAGGAAAAAGGAAAAAGAAAGGATAAAAACATTTTTTTCCCCAAAAACATGTAGTTCCAATAAAATTCTTCCAGAATGTTTCACTATAACTAGCGCTCAGAAAAAAAAAAAGCCTCATCTATTTTCACTGTAGCCTCCAGTTCTGTCATTCTGTTTCTTTTCATGTAAATTTTTGTAAAATACTGCCACGGTTGTGCATTCTCTTTTCTGGCTGCTCTGGGAGATATCACCTTGGGGCCACCAGAGAAGCTCTTCTCTTTGGAACGCATCGCTCTCCAGCTTGCAAAAGGATTTTCCATTATTGTAAGGTACATTTGTGTTATACTTAGCACATTTCTACCCTGAGGTAGTGTCAGAGTGGCATCACCCAGAAATGCAGCCATGACACAGTGAAGATCTTGTTAAATGCTGAATAAAAGATGTTAATATGTTAGAGCGAAGGTCAAGGAACTGCACCAACTTGTACCCACTGTGCAATGCACTGTCAGCAAAACTCTCTCCTTGCTGTACTGCCCAGTTCTGCCTTTCGTTGTGCCTTTGTGTGCTCTTAAAACCTTTTAGCCACAAAATGTAAAAAGGCTGTGCTGATTTAGGCTCAATATAATACCTTTTCAATGGTCAAATGTTTCAAGAGTGTTTTCTTAAAGCATCTAGAAGTATTTGTAAACGGTGACTCAGAGCATGTCTTTTTTGGTTCCCCTTTAGTTAGAATCCAAGAAAGTGCATTCCACATTGCACCTTCTCAAGAAACACACATGAAAAAAATGTAATAATAGCTCAAGAAACTTGTAAGAAACTTTACAGGCCTGCATATCTTCTCATTGACCAGGGGAGGTGAAGTGGTCACCAGGTTTACAGTTTCACAGGTCCCTCGGATCCACAAGGAAGGGGACAAGAGATCCCCAGGAGGGTTTTCTTTTTCCAGATTGTTGCTTCTTTCTCAGAAATTAATGCCCAACTGTATTAGTGATCAGAAATCTTCTAAGTCAGCACAGAAAGCTGTTTCTGTCTCACCCATCAACTTCACTCCTACAGCCCCGGTCTCATAGGGTCACAGCAAAACCAAAAACCCCAGCCACATAATCTAGAGAGGCATGGATACCATGAACCACGCACCAGAGGTAAGATCTAGATCTGTGAACTGGAAGGAACAGCGGTGATTGTGAGTGTGTGAAAGCCCCGGAGAGAACTGGCACTCTGCTGCTGACACACGGAAAGATGCTGCACCTGCCTCGAGGAGCCTCTGGCCCCAGAGAGCAGTGATGCTAAACTTCAGCTGCCAGAAAGTGAAGAGAAAGTAAATGCAAGTCTTGCCTTTTGCAAAGCCATTGACAAACACTATCTTTCTGCATGAGAGTAAATCACAGGCAATTTAAAATTCTGCACTGCAAGGGATGCAAGAGGACTTCCACAGCCACATTCAGTGACGGTCTTCCCTCTCTCCCAGCTTGCAGACTGCATTACAGAAAGACATTTTCTGTATTTACACTATTTTTCGTATTCTTGCTGAGTATTCCCTGCTAGCCAGCTTAGCTGATAAAATACTTAGTTAAATGTATCAGAGGTTTGACTCATTGTGACTTCTTATGTTGCCTTCTCACCCACCTCATATCACTTGCTCAAAAGAGAAGGGTCACCTCTTCTTGGGTCTTGCACTTAGCACATTTTTTGCATCTTGGTAAGTGGGTATTAACCTGACCTGTCAGTATAGCAGAACTTTGCACTCACATTTTCAGAGAACAGGACAAAGAAAATTAGAGCTAAATCATTCTAACAAGTCCTGTAAAATCACAGACACCTCTCAGAAAGCACAGCGGTGTTTTCTGACCCTCAGAACCTCATGACAATGGCATTAAACTAATGATACTAGTATGACTTCTATGTACTTGCTTCAGCACTACGTATATTAAAATTGAAGCAATAGAAGATTAGCATGGTCCCTGAGCAAGGAGGGCATGTACATTCATGAAGCGCTTCATATTTTGGGGGATTGGAACTAGATATCTTTAAGGTCCCTTCCAGCCCTAGCCATTCCGTGATTCTATTTAATTTCTTTTTCACAGTTTTTCTATTACTGTACCCATGGACCCCATTCGGTGATTAATTCCCAGCACAATTTTAGCATTTTTTTCCCTGTAGTTTTAAGGCTACTATGAGCTGGCAAAACTAAAGGCCAAGAGCACCTTTTGGGGAGAGTCTTCCTCATTCAATGCACCAAAATGCAGAGACCCGTTTCTTTGCATTTATTCATGTAGAATGATGTCTCCCTGCAGACCATCGCACTGACTACAGTCTTGCTTCATCTGCAGCCTTGGGGAAAACATACAAAACAATTCCTGTGACATCCAGATGGTGCACTGAGAGATTGGAGCGAAGAGAAGCGCCGAAGCTCCCGGCCTGCATGGAAGCAGCCAGAGTAACTTTCCAACAGCTACACAAAAGAGCCTCTGTCTCTGCTGTTGAGACATTCCTTTGAAGCTTGGCAATTCTGACTGGCAACATTTCATATCTGGCCATCTTTAGGTTTGGAGCTATGAAGAATGGGAAAGAAGAAAAAGATGGGAAAGAAGAGAGCAGGGAAAAGAAAAAAAAAAAAAAGTAGGATCAGCCCAGAACAGATCTGGCTAAGAGCCCGTGGCAACAGCATACATTTTGCATTACCACACCTATGCCACTTTTTGGTTTAAGGCTTTCTTATCAACATGGAAATTTCCAGTTTATTTCTGACCTTCTGAGCAGAGAGTGGGCAATCTCTCTCGGCTAAGGAGACATTATAATTCACCATTAAAAAACACAAAACATCCTTAATGTAAAGGTATATCATAAAACATAAGACTAAACCAAGAGCATGCAGTTTCATTTTAAAGAATGCATGCATTGCTAGTTTCTCTACCAGATTATGGGGAATTTTTTACACAAATACCAATTACCTGCAAATAAACATGTTATATTTGATTATTAATATTTCCAGGTTTAAAGAATTAATTCACTTCTTAGCTCCCTACTGTGGTGTGGTTACAAAATATTTTTACCCCTCTACGTCTTGCTTTCTCCACTCATAAACCATATAACTTCCTTCTTGAAAACTGTAAAAATGTTGTGGCTGATTCTTGTATGACGGCAAGCATTTGCTCTTTAAAGATGAAGAACATTCTAGAAGTTAAACTTTTAATGTTAACAAATCTGTTCCCTTAAAATATTTTTCTTCATCACTGTCAACTTCATGTTTCCTTAATGTGGAAAACAGAAAAACTTCATTTGCCTCCCTGATCAACTGTTCTTCTGGTTTCTTTTTCATTATTCTACCTTATTCAATTAGATGTTATTTGCTGTGACTGTGGTGGCAGAAAATGTCTTACAAAATAAATTAATCTTTCACTCTCAGGTCTTTGAATATAAAAAGAATCAACAATTAATTTCATCTGCAATATTCTATTATTTATTCTGTTATTTTTCTGTTCCTGCCTTTGAAATGCATAACACTGACCTTATGAGCCAAGAACCCTAACATTAGATATTTCAGAGGGAAAGCAAGTACTAAGCATAAGACTTTTTGATTAGATATAAAAGGACTCTAGAAATTACTCTCCACATCTAAAAAAAGGATGGACCGTGATTCACCAAGGTCAGAGAAAGAAAGGTAGAGAAAGTAGTAAACCTCAAGAATTTGTGATTCTGTCACAAGTTTTAAAACTTTAAATCTTTCTTTTTTTGGAAGTGTCAATCATTCACTTTCTTTCAAGTATGCTTCCCAATGCTTTCAAAACTTGCACTCTTATCATAAACTCATAGGAATTAAAAATTTTTCTTCATTAATTTACCTATAACAGGCTCTCTTATGGCATGTTTGGCACAGGGACTGCCCAGCCGTGACAGCTGATCTGTATGCAACTCAAAAGGGATGACAGACAACCAGCCACAAAGCCCTGCTGGGGTGCTGCCATGCTTAAATGCCCACACAATGAGTCCACGCAGGGCTCAAGTCTCCTCCACCTCATTCATATCCTGCTGGAGGAGCCCCAGCAGGCCACTGCCGCACTCCCCTGGCCATGAACCACCTTTCTTGGAAGCTGCCTGTCACCTCCACTCTCCAAACAGCTGATACTGGTCTGGCTGCAGAAGAAATGGGAGTGAGGGGAGGAACGGTAAGAAAGGTTGGATATACCTTGATTAGTTCTTTCATTTTGTTCTAATGTGTGAGCACTTCAATAAAAATGAAAAAAACAATAAAAGAAAAAAAAATTCAACATTTCCCTCTTCCTCCTACAGTTCAAGTTCAAGACAGGAACATGAAAGAAAATCCCCTAAAGATTAATTTAATGCATGAGGAGGTAGGGATTTTTATTTTACACACCTAAGTAGATAACAATGAATGTTGACATTTTTCTTTAAGGTCTAAAATCTGCCCTCAAAGGGGTAGGAGTAGCGCAGTGAGTCTATGTTGTGGGAGAGACATAGGAGACTGAGTTATCACCCCTCTTAGCCTCAGAAAAAAAAAAAAAAAAAAACAATAAAATATTTAAAGCCTATGAATATAATTTATTTGTGACTTGCCTACAACTATTGTGCTCACTGATTTCACTTAATCCACGTTGGCGGAGTATTTCAGCCTGGCAGAAGTGCTGCTATGTTACAGTGCACTGACTCCATTAAAACACTGCACAACAACTAAACTGGGGCAACCCTACATTTATCAAATCCTCAGCTGGCCCTGATGACTCAGGAGAGAAGTTAGCACTAGAAGAGGGGAAGTGTAGGCAGGCTGCCCTCCACTGTACATCTGGAAACCTGCATTTGTCAAAAAGAAGCCCCAGCGAGCCCCCCCGTCAGGGGACCTACTCTTACATTCACGGGGACGTTGTCCCCCTGGGAACATCATCTCTTTGTTCTTCAGGGAGCAGCTGCAGAGCCCTGAGCAGAGCGACTCTGTAATTGCACTTCAGTTGTGCTCATATGGACATGACTCCTTGGTTGCATTATAATGGTCAGACCAGTGAAGAGGCAAAAATCAGCAGCCATTAAGAGAGGAATTGTCAGGGTTCAAACACATTCACTACCCTTGGCATGATGCACTTGATGGGGAGCAGAGAGCCATGATTGAAATATAGCTCATCAGCACCAAGTCAAATATTTGCCATCTCTCCAGGTAGATCACACTTGACGTCCGAGCTGGCGCCAGCCGGACTCCTGGCTGTTAGCTGACGAGACATCATAAAAACTCGGAAGCAACAGTTACCTCATATGCAAACAGCTACCTATTAACATCTCTTTACTGGGTCTGACACAGCCTAACACGTCCTATATTCTTTCTGAAATAAGTACACACAGGCACTGAGAGCTTTAGCTATAATTATCATTACTGCTGACAGCCAGGAACTTTACGTCACTTAACACCAGCTGATTGGTCCCCTCCTGGGAATCTCTGCTGGGAGCACAAGGCGGGTGACTCACCCCTCCTCTTCCTCTGGGACTTTGCTCTTCCTTCCTGAGTATTTGTAGTCCACATCATCATTACAAGGTTTTACTTCCCATTTTTTTTCCTTTTTAAAAGGAGTATTTGCGTTCTTGCATGAGGTCTTGTGACATCCTTGGCAGGCTCTGTTACTCTGAATGGTCAGACAGGATTTTCACCAGGACAGTTAAAGCTCCCAGCTTTCTGCTGAAATTTTGGGAGGCAAAGGTCTATTCATTTCAGTCAAATAGCCCAGGACCTTTCTCTTGGACTTACCACATTCATAAAACAGGTATTACTTTCTCTCTCCTATCCCATATCAAAATACAACCTAGCTTTTATATAGTCATTTTAGTCATAGCACTTTAAATAGGAGGAATTACTAATACTGTTTTGAGATGGGAAGCTAAGTAGAGAAAAGCCAAGTGACATACCCCAGATAGCTGAGCAGCCACGACACACACAGTGGTGAAACCCAGGTCTGCTGCACACAGGAACCTTCCTGCACAGCAAAGCAGAGCTGCAACAGGGTCCCAGTCCTGAAGGGCTCCTTTAGGATCTTTCACAGAATAAATAAATACAATTTCCCACTAACACTCCAGGGATTTCCTGCTATTAAGCTGTTCATTGGTTAACACAGCAATGTCAAGAGATCAGTTTTAAAACATTTGGCACCTAGAGCCACAGTTAGGCTCAAAAAGATGTTGTCCAGATTGTCAGAGGCAAATAACACTTGCAGCTTGCCCTCTCTTGGCATCAACTGCTTGCCCAAGTACCTGGATATAAGTTATGTCCTTAGCAGATTTCACCCGATTTTAAAAAGGTTGTTCTTTACCATAAAGTAACATTATTTCCAGCATGTTGGATTACTACCTGTGATAAAGAGCTTTGCATCTGACTGAAAGAAACAGCTTTTTTTCTCTGAACTGAGTAACAGCTGATTTTTCTGGCCCTGTCTTTTTCATCCAAGCACCTAATTGTCTTGGGAAAAATGACTTGTTTATCAAGTTAAACAAAACAACTGCTCTCCAGAACAGACCAATAAAACAGGATTTATATGAGGAGCTACGGCTTTATTGGCTATTGGTTTAAGCTGTTTGTCCTATTTTAGAAGAGTATTATTTTTATTAGGTTTTTCCCCCTGTTGAAAAGACTATTAATTACATTGTCATAAATAAGGAACTACATTGTTTAATATGGCCATTAAAAAGGAGGTTTATAGATCACTTGATCACAGGGGTTCATTTAGGTCTCATAGTAATGAATAGAAGTGGATGTATAGCAGCAGTTCACTACATGCTTTTGTCTGAACTTTTTGCTCTACATTTTGGACCACTTTGAGATTGTTTTATGTAATCTCTTCAAAAACTGACATTCATTGCCCTCTGCTGGCTACACCACTTACTCATATTTACACAGCATTACACTGTGCAAAACTGGGATGTTAGCTGGACAAGTTATGGAATGCCCTAAGAAGGCTGCTGGAGGTAGGAGCTGACTCAGGGTCTGTCGGCAGCAAACCTGGAGTCTAGA